AAAAAATATATATATATATATATTAAAATTAAGAAAATGCCCGATGGGATGCATTGATTAGTGTGAAAATGAATTACAATTTTGTTTCCTCCTCTCCCTCTCTTAACTAATATGAATTGTTCTAATTTAATAGTCATAACTAAGCTTAAACGATGGAAAAAGTAATAAAATTTCTCGATTAATTTTTTAAATTATACAAATTCTTTATGTTTAAAAAAAATTTCAATTTATAAGGAATATTTTTTACGCGTGAGATTAAGCTTCGTGCCACAGTAATACTTCTTTATTACTTTCAAAACTTATGACAATAGGTCATAATTTTTGTTATATTAATATATTTTTTCTTCTGCTAGATACTGAAACTGAAAGTGTAAATGATATTTATCTTTATATTTAATGGCAACTGGGTTTAAATTTTCAGTTTTACTTTATTTTTCTTCTCTTTTTTAAGTAATCAATGCTGTAGATAATTAATTAATGTTAATGGTTAGATCATTTTAATTCGATCGTACATCGTTGAAAATTTATATATGCGTGGACGAGAAATTTAAATTTAAAATTGCTAAAATTTTCGTATAATATATTATTATAAAAAATAAAAATATTCTGAATGTTGCATTACTTTTTCTCTTCCCTTCTCAAATTTAATTGCAGTTATGCCAATTTTATTTTAACTATTTCAAACTTTTTTTTTTAAATATTTAGTTTACTTGTTTATTTTTCTGTCTGTCAGTCTGTCTGTACTCGGAGCTTAAAATTTCAATACGTTCCATTTGTCGAAGCTAACCAACGTGGACAAACTATTCTTGGCTTGCATTTATTTTTAAATGATATATTTTTAATTCTTTACATTTGCATAAACCCTAAAATTTTCAACGAATATTGATATGTAAATTAAAGACAAAACGAGACACGCAACACGCAATATTTTCTTTTGCCACAACAAATTAAGAATTATAATAAATTAAGAATAAACAGGTTAAAATGGTACAGTACTAAGCTTTCATAGTGGACGTATTTAAGAACTGTAGGAATAAGGCAAAGTAACAGGAGGAGATGCTTCCTGAGAGGACTTTATAGTATACTTCCTCCTCATTTACGTATTAGACATTCGAACAAAACCCTGAAAACAATATACGAGATTTCAATATATTTAATTCAAGTAATTTTACCAGATATATTATAACGAAACGTAGCAACCAGTGGCCGTGTGGATAAAACCACTGAAACACAAGTCGCGGGTTCGTGCTTCACC